CTGCCTCTTGAGTACCGCATCTGAACTCTTAATCGACCCGTGTATAGTTTCTGAGCCTGACAAAACCAACTAAGTTCTGTCATATTTACACTTAAAGTTGTGTATGGTATCTACATCCACCATTTTACTACTTAATGCATTCCAATTGTGACTATTATGATACTGGAAAATATTCTTTCTAATGTCTCTCTGGCTCATTTGGGTACTTAATTTCCATTCATGTCCCCTTGTTCATGTACTTCCCTTGCTAAATAGTCTATCCTTTTCTGCCCTGTTTATTCTCCTGAGTATTTTGTATGTAGTAATCATGTCTTCCCTATGTCTTTCTTTCAGTGAAGTGATATCTAACACCTACTGTATAATCTTTTCTCATAGCTCATACCTCATGGCTCTGGTACTAGTCTGGTGGCATATCTCTGATCTTTCTCCAGCTTCGTTTTGTGTTTAACGAGATAAGGACAATACGTTGGTGCTGCATATTTCAGGATCAGTCTGACATAAGCGATATAAAAAGATTCTAAATTACTTTTGTTTAGATTACTAAAGGCACCTCCTGTATTAATGAACCTTCTGTATGCAGCTGATGAAATCCATTTGATGTGATACCTTATGTCTGGTCTCCCCATACCCAACTTCATTACTTTTCATTTGCTAGAGTTGAACTCTAGTAGCCACCAGAAGGACCATATTTTAATTTTTTTCAGGGGCCCAGATTCACGAAACAGTTACCCAAGTACTGTACTTACAAACGTGTACATCTTTCCTCAATTTTTTATGCCTTTGGTTACATTTACTAAACAGTTTACAAGCATGAAAACTTCCCAATCAACTGTTATTGTTATAAACAGGGTCCTGGTGCTTCGGAGCTCATTAACTGTTTATTAATTGTAAACAAAGCCGCCAAAGATTGAGAAAAGATGTACAGGTTCGTAAGTGCTTGCGTAACTGCTTCGTTAATCTGGCCCCAGGACCTCTTGTAGTTTTGTGCATTCTTCCATCTTCATAATTTTTGTTTCAATAGCAAATATTGAGAGGAAAGAATCAATTCTCTTTGGTAGGTCTTTCCATGGTGGCTCTTCGCCGCTCCCTTCATGCCACAGGCTCTGCCTTATTGGATTCTTTGTGGGTGAACACTTGGTGAACACCTCGATTCTCTGTTCCAAGGCCCATATCTGTCAGATTATCTGCAGTGTCATTGTCTATTCCGCCTCTGGTTTTTGTCGATGGTTGAAAGTGCCATACCCCAGAATAACCTGTACTAGACAGTCAAGTTCATCGGTTCTTAAAGAAGTACACTGGTGACCACTTGATGAGGTTTGTTCCTATATACTAGTATGTGTACTTACAGACAGCTTAAGTATTCTCATTTCAAACCCAGTGTAATAAGGACAGGCACAACTGAAAAAAATACTCACCACAGATAATTATAGTTGCTACCACACTGAGGAGTGAATGTTGATAGAGCTTGGCTGTGTTTGGTCTCACCCATGAAAAGGGTAGACCATTGCTTAAAGAGATTTACATCTCTCCTCAAATTATATTTTTTCAGGTGGAGTTAGCAGATTGCTGTGAAGTTTCTCTCAGAAAAGGAATTGATGGACACACACTACTGGTAAGCCTGTGGTTTGACTGTACTACATGTTTGTATCTATTAATATATTCTTTAATGTAATCTTTAATATAATCTTCTATGATTATATATAGCAGCAACTTTTCCTGCATTGTCTTTCCCTTTGGCAGAGTTTGGCTCCAGGAATTGTACCATTTTTCTAAGTTCTGCCCTTTCCATTACTCTTGCGATGGCTTCCTCTTCAGCCTTTTCAGGGTTAAGTTATGTGGAGCCATCCTTCCCCATTGCTCAATATGTTCATAGATGCCATCTCTGGGCTGAGACATTATGACCAGTGCTCACCAGGCTGCCCCAGGGCAGCCTGGTGAGCACTGGCTGGGTCTGTTTCTATAGGTGCACAGCATGGTTCATGAATTTGTGGCTGTGTGACATGTCCTGAGGAGGATTTGGCTTACTCTGGGCTCAGTGTTCCAACTTCACTCCAATTGCTCCCTGGTGGCAGGGAGCCATCAGAGGGAGTTAGCCAAGGGCCAGGCCGTCTGGTGGCGAGGATTGGTAGTAACGAGTTGTTTGCTGGTTTGAGTGAATCCCTTATTTTGTGTGAATGGTTTGGTGGTTTCAAGACTTCATTTTCTACGAACAAGGAACAAAACAAGATTTAGTTTTTGTAGTTGTCTGTAAAGCTTTACTGACATTCTGGAGGCTTTTTCCACTGGGGTGGCAGATTGTCACCTGCTCCCTGAACCTTTATGAGGGTCCCAGGATTTAACTCTGGTACCTGGTAGGCCAAACAGAACTGCCATAGTTGATGGGACCTTTCAATGTGTTGTTGCTTGAATGAATTATATAGGGTTAGACCATTTCATTTCATCAAAGATTTTGTTCGATCCATTAGCCCTCAGGCAGCCCCTTTTCCCCTATATACCTGTTGTGTACCTGTCAATGATTCCGAGGATCAACGTTCCCACAACCCATTCTCTAACCAGGCCTTCCGGTTAGTTGTGTGGTCAATCAAGCTGTTCGATGTGGCTACTCACTGCCTGTCATACAGTATGAGTCACAGCCTGGTCAGGTATCCTTTGAAAGTGTTTGTCAAGTTCTCTTTTGAACACTGTAAGAGGTCGACCAGTTATGCCCCATATGTGTAGAATTATGTGTAGAGTGTTTAAAATTCTTGGGCCTTGGATGTTGTTTGAGTTCTCTCTCAGCATGCATATTGCACCTATGCTTTTCAATGGGGTTATTTTGCAAATCCTGCCATGCCTTCTGATCTCATGTGGTGGTATTTCTGCATGCAGATTTGGAAACAGTCTTTTCTAGTAGTTTCCATGTGTAAATTAATATGTATCTCCCTCCTGTGCTCTAGGGAATACAGATTTAAAATTTTAAAGCTGTCCCAATAATTTAGATGTTTTATTAAGTGGATTCTGGCAGTAAAATATTTTTGGGTGCTTTGCAGGTCGGTAATTTCTCCAGTTTTGAATGGGGCATTTAGTGTGCAACAATATTCCATTCTAGAGAGCACTAGTGTCTTAAAAAGTATCATCATTAGTGTGGCATCATCTGTTTGAAAGGTTCTTGTTATCCAACCTGTCATTTTTCTTGCAGTTGTGACAGCTACTTCGTTGTGTTGTTTAAAATTAAGGTCTTTCGACGTGATTCATGATTATTACTGAAGCTTATACATTGCTTTTTCTTTCAATAGTGTGGTTTGACTGCATTTTATATATGGTTTCTGTTCTGATATTTTTATTTGCTTGGAAAGTGTGCATCTCCCATGTGGCAAATTTAATTATTATATTCTTTCATTAGTGGTACACATGCATTGTAGTAAATTTCCTCTGATCATTCATGGGTCTGCATATCTCATATTTTTATTTATTTATTTTTTTTTGAGATGTATACAAGAGTTGTTACATTCTTGTACAGCCACTAGTACGCGTAGCGTTTCAGGCAAGTCCTTAATCCTATGGTCCCTGGAATACGATCCCCTGCCACGAAGAATCATTTTTTCATCCAAGTACACATTTTACTGTTGCGTTAAACAGAGGCTACAGTTAAGGAATTGCGCCCAGTAAATCCTCCCCGGCCAGGATACGAACCCATGACATAGCGCTCGCAGAACGCCAGGCGAGTGTCTTACCACTACACCACGGAGACTGCAAAGATATTGTTAATTATTGTTATAAGAATATTGTTATAGTGCTGGCTTACCCCCTCTGATTACCTTCTGTGGTAGAAGGTAGCACAGCAATACAATAATGTTTCAGTATTAATCTCCCTTTTTCTCTTTTTCAGCAATTAACTGAAGAAGCTTTAGTGCTATGGGGTAGAGATGTTTCTATAAAGAATCGCAAGTAAGTAATGAATTTTAATTCATGTGAATGTCTTATATATAGTAGAAAATTGTATGTGCTACAGTATACAGTACTGTAATTCTCTCCTCTACTCCTTGACCAGTTTGGCCAAGGTGTACTGTATTATTACTACAGCTGCATGTTTTGTCGACCCATTCACAAATGTAGGCTGATAACTCACATATCCCATCTTCCTTGTATATTTTAGTACTGAATAATAAATCAAATGTTGAATGTAATGAAATTCCCTTTTCTGGATGGCCATCAGTATCACCCTGGACATAAGGGCTGGTACCACCAAGTCTTGTCTGAATACACCAGATCTGTGAGGCCCATTCTTGCATACCAGAAGAAAGGATCAGAATCTGACTCACTCTATGAGGTGAGGGGAGCTTGGAAATCTGAAATTGATCCAAAATAGGAAAAACTCAATCAGAAATATACAGTAGGTACAGAAAATAATTGGCTGCTTGAGGGGAAATTCTGAGCCCCAAATGAAATATGGCTAATGATTGTTGCCGTAGGGTAAATACTCTAACCATGGTGTGCCTGATCTCCACCAGTTGGCAACCTAGGTTGCCTCACTCTCAGCCAGCCTGTGATCTCATTCATTAACCAGCCAAACCCCACAACAAAGAAGGGAACAGGGTGGGGCCGGGGAACTATTGAGGGCCTACTGTAAAATGGTATTTCGTTACATTCAATGCCTTATTTCTATGAGGGACTCATTGGCAACTCCCTGAGCTTACAACAGTGCCTCGGGAGAGGAGTTCAGCTCCCTCTGTACTGAAAGGGATAAACAGCTAATCCAATGGAAAAAATGGTAGAAGAGGAAGACCCAGGGCAAAGAGGCAGCCACTGTTAGTTGGTTGGCCTCAGGTTTGGCCAAGGTGACATTATCCCTTTGGTGGGTATCCTGGTTGTTCTTAATCCCAAAGTGGGACTGGGTGGACCTACAGTACATCCACAATTTCTTGGGTCTGAATAACTTCATTTCCTATATGACCATCTTAGCCCAGATTTGCCTTCTATTACAGGCATGGGTGACATCCCCAAGTCCTCAAGGATACCTATTGGCATGCCCCTATACATCTGGGGGTTCAGAGACTGGTTAGGTTTTGTTGTGGGGGCATCAAGCCTACTACTTCACAGTTCTTCCCTTTGACTTGAACTTTGCCCTCCGTATATTTACCAGGCTAGTGCGGGTTGTTGTGTCCCGCCTGCATCTGTTAGAGGTTTGTGTATTGGCCCTTCCTTGACAACTGGCTGGTGTGGGCTCCCAGTCAATCCCAGTCAAGCTGACTAGAGATCTGGTTCTTTGCCTGTTTGCCAGGTTCACATTCCAGGTGAAATGGAGGTGGTTCCAGTTGGTTCTGGTCCAGGTTAGGACTTGGCTGGGCCTTGTTTGGGACTCTTGGTAGGTATCTCTCTTTCCTGCTAGTGTTCCACCTGTGGCTTCATTGGTGTCTGGTGTTGGACCATCCCAGGGTGACTCGTCGGTTGATTGGGAGGTTGTGCAGGAATCTTACCTTTGTATTGCCATTCCTCTGGGCAAAGTTGTACTGGTTTCTCCAGTTCTGCCACTCGCGATACCTACAGGTTTGGACCCCATCCGTTCTTTGCCAGCTCTTGCTTTTCCTGGCCCCCTTCTGACTTTTCGAGGTTGTTTCATGGTACTGTTCTCCCCCATCACTGTGTAGTTTGGGGATACCTCATCTCAGGGGTTGGGGTTTCATGACCAGTGATCACCAGGTCATGCAGTGGCTGAGCCTGATCCTAAGGAGGATTTGACTTCCTCTGGGCTTGGTGCTCCCCAGTGGTTCATTGCCTGAATCAAGGGAAGGGGGATTGCTTCAGTCTCTTTCCCTGTAGAGATGGAAGCCTTGAGTAGCTCAGCTTCTGGGTTCTCATGGTTTTGTCCTCTGTGTGATTCATGTGTGGGGTATGTCAAATGTTCTCACATTCGGGTTCTCACCTCTGTCCCACTTCCACAGAATGAACCATCAATGATATCCTTCTGTTGGCTCTGAGAGATGTTTGGTTGTCCCAAGGTGGACCTGTCGCAGTGGATGCTTTTTGACTGGACTGGTCGAAGAGGAGATTCATTTACTTGTTTTCCCCAGTTCAATTGTTTCTCTGCATGTTGTCCAGTCTGGAAACGTCCTCGGGGAAGGTGATCCTTCTGGCTTCTTGTTGGCCAGCCCAGCTTTTGCTTCTGGTGCTGCTGACCCGATTCTCTGCCTCTTTCAGCAGATCAGCCCAGTGATGTATCTTGTAAAGTGTCACTTGACTTTTCGGAAGCTTCTTCCAGTGGGGTGGCAGATTGCCACCTGCTCCCTGTTCCTCTATGAGTGGGGCCATATTCTGGCTATTGTCGCAGGTAGAATAAAAAGAACTTTCAGGATTGGTGCGACCCTTTATTATGTAGGAGTCTCGGCACGATAGCTTCTGGGAGCTACCAGAGCTCCTAAAGGAAGAGATGTTTCATTACATTCAATGATGGCTACATTTATTTTTTGGTGGAATGATGCACTGGCTTGACCCTGGCACTGCTTAATAGGAGATGCACTTGGTTAATGGCAGTAGAGAACCGAATATTTCTGTGTCCTTATAATCCAAGAATTCAATAAAAGGGACTCTGGATAAAGGTGGTTCCACTGTATTGAGGTAGCAAAATTAACATTTAGAATCGTACTGGTCACTAGCTAGCAGAGATGTTTACACAACCCGTCATATATTAAATGTGCCCTTCAGTGTTAGTACCACAAGGTGAAGGAAGTTAATGAGGACCACACAGAAAGAGGCATTTCACTATACTCGATGCTCTTTTTTTTTCTATGACAAATCATAGGGAGCAGTCCATGCCCGGTTTTATAAAATGTTGGGGATACTTTTTCTAGATTTTTTGATGCAGTAGCCTGATTTCACTTAATTTTGGTTACTGTGACAGATATGGTGAAAGGATGTATAGCTTTTTAAGTCTCTTTAACCTTCTTTCCTTACATATTACTTTCCTATTTTCCTCCAGGCTGTTGCCTTTCCATCCCATGAAAATGGGAAATTGGGTAATGATGATGACTGTTTCAACCCAAGTGGTATGTAAAGATTCTTATACTGTACCAATATTTGTATTCCTCAGCTCTTTCATTTCTGTATTGAGTATTGAACTTTCTTTCAAATACTTCTTCATATATGTTTTCATCTCATTTAGTGTTCATCCTAATTCTAGTCATTTTGTTCAAACCATCTGTGTATGTAGAATTTCTATAAATTTGTTACGTTACTGAAATTTAGGACATGCAGGATGGTTATGAGGATGTCATAGAGTGCTGCATCTAAGACCACTGCACCAATACTAGCTTAAAAGGAGAACTGGAAGACGGGACTGTTCTACCGGTGTTGTAGAAGGCTGTCATTACCCTATTTTGCATTTTACCTATGGGGCTACATAGCCTTCCCAGCTTGGTGCCTTCTTTGATAGTTACTTGTATTTTACCTGACTACTCCCCCCCCCTCCTTCCCCTAGCATTTGGGTGCTATAGAATAGGTCATCCAGAGTCGGAATACAAATCTCAAGTACAGTACCATACTGCTAGGATTTCAAACTGGGGTCTGAAGATATCGGTCACTAGCACTAAGTCTTAATTCTTATTGTCTGGCTTTTGTGAACTTGAGTCATGTTGTAACTGTTGATGTTTGTTTCTAATACTGGAATGTTGCCCCTTGTTTGCTGTGTTGTTTGGTTAGTTGGGTGTTCATTTCATGGGTCTAATACTCTCAATCCTACTACTCTATAGAAAGAGGAAGAGGCTTCCTGGATTCTGTCTATATATAATTCCATAGCTTTCTCCAAGTTTACCATGATTCTGACTGACTTTTTAGTAAATTTTTTAATAGCATTCCTTGAACATTTTACAAGAATTTTATTATATATTTAGTTATTTATTTAATTCTTAAGAATAAGTTTGCGGTATTTGATTTTGTTATCATACTATTGTATTGTACTGTATTTGCCGTTGTAGGATTTGCAACCTACTTTTGTGAATCTTTACCAAGTTTTTGTCTGTTTGCTTATGCAAAGTATTTGTTTAATTCCAGGCAAATTATGAAGCTAGTCACACAGATAAAGGACCATCAGCTAGTCAATACTAGTAGACATGTGAGGTAAGATTATGTTAAATATTTTATTGGTGGGTGAAAGTAGCACAAGTACCATACATATTCCATCGTATTTTTGTGCAAATTCATATAAACTTTCTTATAAATGTACCTGTTTTATATGAAGGATATGTGTGGGGTGGGCTGGAGGAAGATTCTATGGACAGATGTACACGATGATGACGATAGGTGGAGTGAATATACTAGGAGTCTCGACAATTACAGAAGGTGAAGAAAAAATAACCTGTGCTTGAATGAGCGATAGGCATGGAAGATGACCCGTGGAATACAGGAAAAATTAGATTGGTAGGAAATTAGAGAATCGGTCAATAGACCAAAGATAACAATGTCTCCTGGTATAAATGGAATAACGGGGGAAATGTTAAAGTTGTCAGTATAGGTTGATAGTTTACTCTGATGTGTATCATGTGGCACAACAGGAGGGAGAGGTGCCAGTTGATTGATGAAGGATGTTGTGGTCCCTATGTATAAGAGAAAGGGAATTAGGGATGACTGGATGACTGTGAGAACAATAGGGAGATTTGTTTGGTGTGATAATTACTTTTCATTAGTTTGGGGTGTCGGGAACGTGGTGCTGGTGTCGGGGACGTGGTGCTGGTGTCGGGGACGTGGTGCTGGTGTCGGGGACGTGGTGCTGGTGTCGGGGACGTGGTGCTGGTGTCGGGGACGTGGTGCTGGTGTCGGGGACGTGGTGCTGGTGTTGGCACAGGGATATGGTGGTGGTGTCCAGGTCATGATATTAGTGTCAGAGCCATGGTGTTGATGACATGGTGTTGGTGGGTGTGTCGGGGACGTGGTGTTGGTGGGTGTGTCGGGGACGTGGTGTTGGTGGGTGTGTCGGGGCCATGGTGTTGGTGGGTGTGTCGGGGACGTGGTGTTGGTGGGTGTGTCGGGGACGTGGTGTTGGTGGGTGTGTCGGGGACGTGGTGTTGGTGGGTGTGTCGGGGACGTGGTGTTGGTGGGTGTGTCGGGGACGTGGTGTTGGTGGGTGTGTCGGGGACGTGGTGTTGGTGGGTGTGTCGGGGACGTGGTGTTGGTGGGTGTGTCGGGGACGTGGTGTTGGTGGGTGTGTCGGGGACGTGGTGTTGGTGGGTGTAATTACCTAAGTGTAATTACCTAAGTGTAGTTACAGGATGAGAGCTACGCTCGTGGTGTCCCGTCTTCCCAGCACTCTTTGTCATATAACGCTTTGAAACTACTGACGGTCTTGGCCTCCACCACCTTCTCACTTAACTTGTTCCAACCGTCTACCACTCTATTTGCGAAGGTGAATTTTCTTATATTTCTTCGGCATCTGTGTTTAGCTAGTTTAAATCTATGACCTCTTGTTCTTGAAGTACCAGGTCTCAGGAATCCTTCCCTGTCGATTTTATCAATTCCTGTTACTATTTTGTACGTAGTGATCATATCACCTCTTTTTCTTCTGTCTTCTAGTTTTGGCATGTTTAATGCTTCCAACCTCTCCTCGTAGCTCTTGCCCTTCAGTTCTGGGAGCCACTTCGTAGCATGTCTTTGCACCTTTTCCAGCTTGTTGATGTGCTTCTTAAGATATGGGCACCACACAACAACTGCATATTCTAGCTTTGGCCTAACAAAAGTCATGAACAATTTCTTTAGTATATCGCCATCCATGTATTTAAATGCAATTCTGAAGTTAGAAAGCATCGCATAGGCTCCTTGCACAATATTCTTTATGTGGTCCTCAGGTGATAGTTTTCTATCTAGAACCACCCCTAGATCTTTTTCTTTATCAGAATTCTTTAAAGATTTCTCACATAATATATAGGTTGTGTGGGGTCTATGTTCTCCTATTCCACATTCCATAACATGACATTTATTAACATTAAATTCCATTTGCCAGGTAGTGCTCCATATACTTATTTTGTCCAGGTCTTCTTGAAGGGCATGACAATCATCTAAATTTCTTATCCTTCCTATTATCTTAGCATCATCAGCAAACATGTTCATATAATTCTGTATACCAACTGGTAGATCATTTATGTACACAATAAACATCACTGGTGCAAGAACTGAACCCTGTGGTACTCCACTTGTGACATTTCTCCATTCCGATACATTGCCTCTGATTACTGCCCTCATTTTTCTATCAGTCAGAAAATTTTTCATCCATGATAGAAGCTTACCTGTCACCCCTCCAATATTTTCCAGTTTCCAGAACAGCCTCTTATGTGGAACTCTGTCGAAAGCCTTTTTTAGGTCCAGATAGATGCAGTCAACCCAGCCATCTCTTTCCTGTAATATCTCTGTGGCCCGATCATAGAAACTGAGTAAATTCGATACACAGGATCTTCCTGATCGAAAACCATACTGTCTGTCTGATATTATATCATTTCTCTCCAGGTGTTCTACCCATTTAGTTTTGATTAGCTTTTCCAATACTTTCACTATTACACTTGTCAATGATACAGGTCTATAATTGAGGGGGTCTTCCCTGCTGCCACTTTTGTAGATTGGAACTATGTTAGCCTGTTTCCACACGTCTGCTACGATTCCTGTACACAGGGATGCCTGAAAGATCAGGTGAAGTGGAATGCTGAGCTCAGATGCACATTCTCTCAGAACCCATGGTGAAACGCCATCTGGGCCAGCTGCTTTGTTCCTCCCGAGCTCCTTTAGCATATTTTCCACTTCATCTCTAGACACCTCTATCCGCTCTATGTTGTTCTCTGGAATTCTTATTGTGTCTGGTTCTCTGAAGATTTCATTTTGTACAAACACACTTTGGAACTTTTCATTTAATGTTTCACACATTTCCTTTTCATTTTCCGTGAATCTGTTTCCCATTTTCAACCTCTGGATATTATCCTTTACCTGCAATTTGTTGTTTATGAATTTGTAGAATAGGCCCGGTTCTGTTTTACATTTATCTGCTATCCCTTTTTCAAAATTTCTTTCTGCCTCTCTCCTTACTGCTGTATAGTTGTTTCTCGCATCTTTGTATCGCTGGTATGTTTGGGGGTTTGGCCTCTTCCTATACTGATTCCATTTTTGTGTCTTTTGGTCTCTTGCCCTCTCACAATTTCTGTCGAACCAATCCTGTTTTCTGGTCCTGCATCTCTGTTTTGGTATGAATGTTTGTGTGCCTTCCTCGTATAGTTTTAAAAATTTGGCATACATTTCATTTACTTCCCTGCCTAGCAACAATTCTGTCCAATTACACTCATTAAAAAAATTTCGAAGTTCCCCATAGTTGCCTCTCTTTAAATCGAGTTTATCAACTGTTTCAATGTCCCCATTTTCTTCTAGATGATATCTTAAAGCATATTTAATGTCTAACAGGACGTGATCACTCTTTCCCAAGGGAGGAAGGTACTGGATGTCAAAAATCTCTTCTTCTTTCCTGGGTGTGTCGGGGACGTAGTGTTGGTGGGTGTGTCGGGGACGTGGTGTTGGTGGGTGTGTCGGGGACGTGGTGTTGGTGGGTGTGTCGGGGACGTGGTGTTGGTGGGTGTGTCGGGGACGTGGTGTTGGTGGGTGTGTCGGGGACGTGGTGTTGGTGGGTGTGTCGGGGACGTGGTGTTGGTGGGTGTGTCGGGGACGTGGTGTTGGTGGGTGTGTCGGGGACGTGGTGTTGGTGGGTGTGTCGGGGACGTGGTGTTGGTGGGTGTGTCGGGGACGTGGTGTTGGTGGGTGTGTCGGGGCCATGGTGTTGGTGGGTGTGTCGGGGACGTGGTGTTGGTGGGTGTGTCGGGGACGTGGTGTTGGTGGGTGTGTCGGGGACGTGGTGTTGGTGGGTGTGTCGGGGACGTGGTGTTGGTGGGTGTGTCGGGGCCATGGTGTTGGTGGGTGTGTCGGGGACGTGGTGTTGGTGGGTGTGTCGGGGACGTGGTGTTGGTGGGTGTGTCGGGGACGTGGTGTTGGTGGGTGTGTCGGGGACGTGGTGTTGGTGGGTGTGTCGGGGCCATGGTGTTGGTGGGTGTGTCGGGGCCGTGGTGTTGGTGGGTGTGTCGGGGACGTGGTGTTGGTGGGTGTGTCGGGGACGTGGTGTTGGTGGGTGTGTCGGGGACGTGGTGTTGGTGGGTGTGTCGGGGACGTGGTGTTGGTGGGTGTGTCGGGGACGTGGTGTTGGTGGGTGTGTCGGGGACGTGGTGTTGGTGGGTGTGTCGGGGACGTGGTGTTGGTGGGTGTGTCGGGGACGTGGTGTTGGTGGGTGTGTCGGGGACGTGGTGTTGGTGGGTGTGTCGGGGATGTGGTGTTGGTGGGTGTGTCGGGGCCATGGTGTTGGTGGGTGTGTCGGGGACGTGGTGTTGGTGGGTGTGTCGGGGACGTGGTGTTGGTGGGTGTGTCGGGGACGTGGTGTTGGTGGGTGTGTCGGGGACGTGGTGTTGGTGGGTGTGTCGGGGACGTGGTGTTGGTGGGTGTGTCGGGGACGTGGTGTTGGTGGGTGTGTCGGGGACGTGGTGTTGGTGGGTGTGTCGGGGACGTGGTGTTGGTGTCGGGGACGTGGTGTTGGTGGGTGTGTCGGGGACGTGGTGTTGGTGTCGGGGACGTGGTGTTGGTGGGTGTGTCGGGGACGTGGTGTTGGTGGGTGTCCCCGTGGTGTTAGGGGGGTGTTGGGGGGGGTGTCAGGGCTATGGTGTTTGGGGGGGGTGTCGGGGCCATGGTGTTGGAGGGGGTGTCGGGGACGTGGTGTTGGTAGGTGTGTCGGGGACGTGGTGTTGGTGGGTGTCCCCGTGGTGTTAGGGGGGTGTTGGGGGGGGGTGTCAGGGCCATGGTGTTTGGGGGGGGGTGTCGGGGACGTGGTGTTGGTGGGTGTGTCGGGGACGTGGTGTTGGTGGGTGTCCCCGTGGTGTTAGGGGGGTGTTTGGGGGGGTGTCGGGGCCGTGGTGTTGGAGGGGGTGTCGGGGCCGTGGTGTTGGCGGGGGTGTCGGCGCTGTGGTGTTTAAAGGCTATTACAGCTTTAAGATATGTGCTTTCGCGTTGATATTTGGCATTATAATTCTGCTTATTGTTTAAAGCTTTTCCCCAATCCAATTATACAATACAACATTTTAATACACTAAATAAATGTATATTCATTGTCATGCAGCCTATTACACATGTAGTATATTGTCATACAGGCTTAATGGGTTTTCCCCATCATTATCTTATCAGCCCATTATAAGAAATAACTAATTTCTTAAATTATGTAATGAAGAATATGGCAAAAATCTTATTTAATCAGTTTAAACAAATTAGTTTTGTGTAATGAGACTATTTGAAGTGGGCACTTGGTAAGAATTTTTTCCGAGCTTGTGTCATACAGGATGTGCTTCCTGAGTGTGTGATAGGGTCGTGTAATGTCCCGCGCCACCGCCTACGTTTGTCTCACTCGTGTGTGTGTGGGAAGAGATTATTCTGGATACTCCTAAACTCATTGGATATATTTTTTATTGTGAAATAGTTATATTTTGCGGAAAACTGTTACAGCTAAGTATTAGTTATACAAAGAGCATTTGAAGAGAGAGAGAGACTGGATAAGAATCCTAATTATGGCACACCAACCATTTAATAAAAATGTTAACAATTTCTCTAGAGAAATGCAATCCCTGAAATTAGACAATGGTGAGGAGGAGGATGATGATGACTCTTTATATAGCAATAATGATTCCATAATTTTTAATCAACTGATAAATTCAAAAAGGCTGCTCGAGTAAGTATAGTTCTTTACCTATTTTTAGTTCACCATATAATGTAAAAAATGCTTTTCAACCTATGTATAAGAGAACATCTTTCTAGATGGAGCTCCTTGTGGCTCCCTGAAGCTTTCTTCCCGAGATTGCTTCATATTAAAAATTTAAGGTCTCGTCAACTGCAGATAGTTCTGTTTGGCCTACCAGGGACCAGAACTAGAATCTGCCCCTCCCCCCTCTCCCTCAGAGGTGCAGAGAGCAGGTGACAAGATGCAACCTTTAAGAACAAGAGGTCATAGATTTAAACTAGCTAAACACAGATGCAGAAAAAATATAAGAAAATTCACTGTCGCAAACAGAGTGGTAGACGGTTGGAACAAGTTAGGTGAGGTGGTGGTGGAGGCCAAGACCGTCAGTAGTTTCAAAGTGTTATATGACAAAGAGTGCTGGGAAGGCGGGACACCACGAGCGTAGCTCTCATATTGTAACTACACTTAGGTAATTACAAGAAAAAGCCTCTAGCAAGTCAGTGCAGCTTTACAGACAACTGGAGGGTTCACAGAAAACGAAACCTTGAAAATGGTTAAACTACCACCACACAAGAGTCACGGAACATGGGACTCACTCAAACGAGCTCAAAACTTGTTAGTACTGATTACCACCATCAGGCGACCCAGCCCCAGCTTCCAGCTAGATCTCCTAAGTCAATTTTGTTTTTGGTGTTGCCACAACAACTTGTAGTGCTTCCAGTCACGTTATCTCCTAGGCGAGCCCCCAAAACTTCAATCTAAGTGCTGGCCATCCTTGGACTTGCTTGTCCTTTGGGGGCCATTTGCTTTATTTTTTACTACTGTATTTTAGTGTCGCTTTATGTGCATGTTTTAATTCCAGCTTGTTGTGTGGGCTTGGTTCTTTTGGTTTTTTTGAGCTGCATGTACTTGGGGGTTCTCTTCCCTGTGTGCTTGCTAATGCTGCCATTGCACAGCCAGAGGTTTCCTTCTCTGGTGTGTTCGGGTGTTTGTCCCTGTGATGCCGGCCCACTGGAGTGGGGGCCCTTTGCCTTGGGCCTTGGTTGGACCTTGGCCCTTGGTTGGGGACTTTCTTTGATTGTGTTGTCCGGGCAACAAAAGTCATTACAGAGCCAAGTCATCTCATATAAGGAACACTTGAAGGCCACAGGGCTAAGAACACCGCAAACCAGGCATGCCAGGGCGGATCTCATTGAAACTTTTAAAATACTGTACAAGTTAGAGGATGTTGATCCAGACATTTTCTTCAGAAGGTCAGATGAAAAACAAACAAGGAGCAACGGTTTCAAGCTCAACAAGCCACAGTGTAAGACTGAGAACAGGAGATGCTTTTTCACCCACAGCATTATTAGCACCGAAGCCGTAATTGCCAAAACTGTGTTGGGTTTTAAAATATACCTGGAAAAGATCATCAAGGTAAATTAGGGGGGACCTTCGACAAGCTGCCAGCTTCCTGTCCTCATCGGGGCCACTGGAGTTAGTGGGCTTCAGAAAAATCAGGTAAAGGTAGTCCCCACTATAAAGATTGTACATATGTAACGTTAATGAAAGTGTTTGTGGAATATGGATACATTTTTATGGGACTCAAAAAGACTGCTTATTAGGTTTAATGCTGATTGTAATATTTGGTTAATAATGTTTCCAATTAAAGTTGATGTCTAGAGTTTCTTCATTAGGATAAAAGCATTGATGGATTTGAAATTTTGTGTAATCACACAAGCTTAAATACTGTGTGATCTATTCAGATCTATTCATGTAGTAAAGATGATATTTTATGTTTTAAAAACAAATTAAGAATAGTTTGATATTATATACTGTATATATAAACTTATATCTAGTATGAACTACTGTATATAATATATAAACTAACTCATCATTTATATCTTAACCCATAGACAGCGGCTATAGAGGGTCATACTTGCCTATGCACAAAAAAAATCATTATAGAATTATTAATTTGTATGCAAAATGTAAGAACAACACAAAAATAAGTGAATATTTATCATTTCACTTAGTGGGGGGAGCTCTGCAAGGGTTCGTCTGACACTTGTCAACGCCTGGTGCGCGACTTTGCTGACGCTTCCTGTTTTATCCTTGATTGTTTCATCCCTTGTTTTTCTTTATATACATCTACAGAGAGCTATTTCAGGTATATCCATATTTGCATCATACAGTACATGTAAAACCCAGACAATAATTGTTTAAATCGTCAATAGATGATATCCACAGGCTAAGGGTTTATTGCCTCTGGCAAGTAAGATGTTAAAGTGTTATGACACTACAATAACACTACAATGTGCCTCTTATCTCAACAGTGACATTCAAGGCCCTCGAAGCTCTTCTGGCATTGTGCCTCCAAGATGGAAAAAACCACAGCATAATCAGCAAGATGATGCAAAAGATGACGACAATACTGTAGACTTTTTTGATGAAGATGATTTTTCTGATGACTACGATAGCGAAAATGAACGTGAATCGTCCAGTATACCACCACCAGAGGTGAGGTGCTGTATTTTGCTTTATAACTTACTGTAATTATAAAAAAAAAAAATGGTTTCATTATAATTTTACTGTTGGTAAGGAGTGGTTTGAAACTTGCAAAACAAAGAACCTTATTCAGTTTCATGCATGTTATTTTTCCTGTATTTGATTGAAATGCACTTGCTACATGACTCACAACTTATGAAAATTTAGCTTTTCTCAAAAAAGAGCATCTTCTTGAGATCTTGAGGTTGTCTTGAGATGATTTCGGGGCTTTTTTTAGTGTCCCCGCGGCCCGGTCCTTGACCAGGCCTCCACCCCCAGGAAGCAGCCTGTGACAGCTGACTAACACCCAGGTACCTATTTTACTGCTAGGTAACAGGGGCATAGGGTGAAAGAAACTCTGCCCATTGTTTCTCGCCGGCGCCTGGGATCGAACCCAGGACCACCGGATCACAAGTCCAGCGTGCTGTCCGCTCGGCCGACCGGCTCCCTCCCGTAACATCCTTCACATCCAGTGTTCAGAGAGCAGTTCACAAAATGACTCGCTTGTAAACTTATTATGCAGCTAATGGGTAATGAAACTATCACTAAAAAATACTGCACACTTAACTTGACTGTCTTTAATTAATATATTTTTTTCTTGTCCTTTTCAGACAACTCCTGGCCATGTTAAAGGTAATTTTTGTTTGCTTTGTTATTACTGTAGAGTGCATGAATAGGAGAATGTAAATATATTTAGAAATGTGAGTATAGGAATAATTTTTATGAAAGTGGGCAATCAAGTCTGTAAACATTCCTGGGCTCAGGACAGAGGATTGTTTACAAAGGAAGTCGACAGCTTCCATGGCGCTGCTACCTGGTGTGGTTAGCTGTTACTAGGTTGTGCATGTGCTTAACTACTAGATGGATCGTTTGCTAAGGTGTTTGTTGCATTGTTTGTTTGCTCTCTGTGAGCCTTGTATTTCTCAGTTTTGTTTTGCATCCTTTCTAAGGGGTTTAGTTCCTCATTGAGAGTGATTATTAATCCCCTGCTCCCTATGCCTCTTGCAAGAAGGCCAGGTTTTTCTGGTCTCAAGAAGGCATTTGAGGACTCGCAAGTGTTGATGTGACTTATAGGTGTGGAATTATCTTAGTGTAGCTAACTACAGGGAGCTACTGTGGCCCTCCAAAAAGGAGAGTTTTAATTTCATTCATTTTTTTTTTTTCAAAATATTTTTGGTAAGAAGTGTACATTGAGAAGGCAAAGTTTGAGATACATGGAGCATAGAGAACTTTGAACAAGGACACTGTAAAGGAATATAATATACAAAGATGACATAGTTATGATATAAAAAATTACTGAAGAGTTTCATTAATGACAAATTTATATAGATCTTACGATTGGGGGGTACAAGAATAGTCTTGTAGTCACTTGACATATAGTAATTTTATTTTTAAGTGTACCATCTCAATTACTGACTGAAACCTCCTCCTTTTTAGGTGATGAAGAATATGGACTTTATATGACGCCTAGAACTGTAACTACCACCCCAACCTATCCAAGTCAACCATCAAGAGGTCTTCCTAACTTTCCTGCAAGAGTTCCAGTAATTAGTGCCCATAATCTTTCACAATTGCCTTTTCCTGCAAATCGTCTGCCAGCACCACAGCCCAGTAATATTCGCCCATCTCTTCCTCCAACCAATTTGCCTCAAAATCAAGATACTCGAAACAGAGCTTTCTCACTACCTGTAGTAAGCAGGGGTGCCGCACCTGCAAACCGGGGAACAGGAGCTCACCATGGAGGGTTTTCTGGTGCATTAAGAGGACATGGACCTTCAGACCAGACTCCACATGGACACCCACCACCAGACGTCTCTGGACGTGGACCTGCTCCAGTCCCTGGAGGCCTTGATAATAATCTTCGACACCAAATTGGTCTTCAAACTGCTAACCCTCCATTCCTGAAGGTAAGGTATAAAAAGAGCAAGTTATTACTTTTATTTACCCTTTGTATGTGCTAGGTAATAGTGATCGACACAAAAAAAAAATGGACTAACCACATGATAAGTTACCTCGGCAGAGAATAATTTACAATAATGTAGGTGGAAATTGTTAACCCAACTCGCCTATGAAAAGAAAGTGATGACATTTCAGTCTGTCCTGGACCCTTATTGACATAACTTGATAAGGGTTCAGGATGGACCAAAACATTGCCACTTTCTTTTGGGAGCCTTTTGGGAAGCCCCTTGCTGGCATCCTGAAATTATCTTGAGATTGCTCCTATCTGCTGGCTCGTATCAGTCGTGGGACTTCTGGTTTGCCTATTGGGGACCAGAGCCAGACCTGGTCCCTTCACAAAAGCAGAGAGAGCAGGTAACATTCCACCACCCCACTAGGAATGCATTCAGAAAGTCAGCCCCCCCCCCCCCCTTCTTGAGGCTTACTAGACAGCTGCCATTTTATGGGTATGGTTTTCCCATTTTTGGGTTAGTGCAGTGCTGGTGGTTTGAAAACCCTGGAGTTGTTCCACCTCCTCTTCCACACACTGCTGTATTTCAAAATTGTGGGTGGCAGGGGGATTGTTTACTGTTACCAGGCAGTACCACCACCTCTTCCACTCCTCCCCCTCCCCCCCTCTTCTTGGGGTGTGGTTTTTGCCTTGCATCTGATCTGCACCTTCCTGCTCCCAGCTCTGTTGTCTCTACAGGTTTCAGAGTTGGGATGGAGTTTTTCATTGGGTGTGTAGCTTGGCCAGCTCCAGGGGTGGCATCATCCTTTCAAAAACAGTAGAAGCAGTTGAACAATCTATTTATGCTGGGGGTGTAGAGCCTTTGCCTTCTCAGCTACTACTTTCCTCTGCTTCTCCCTCCCCCTTCCTGTCAACCACTTGGGCTGGACGGTAGAGCGACGGTCTTGCTTTATGCAGGTCGGCGTTCAATCCTGACCATCTGAGTGGTTGGGCACCATTCCTTCCCCCCGTCCCATCCCAAATCCTTATCCTGACCCCTTCCAAGTGATATATATATATATATAGTCTAATGGCTTGGCACTTTCCCCTGATAATTCCTTCCTCCTTCCCCCCTTCCCTCTCCATAGGATGTTGCCTTCTATCTTTGGCATTGAGTGTGGCGAATGACTCTGCTCTGAGACTGCCTTGACTTGCTTCTGGGGCTGGGGGATGGGGGTGTGGTGGGAGTCCATGGTGGGCCCATGAGTGAGTTTCACCTCTTTCGGAGCTCTGTTCTGCAGTAGGGGTTTGTTGCTCCTGGGAACCGGTTTTCTTATCTCCTTCTTTGAGGTGTGCATTAGGCGTCTCGGTGGCTTCTCTGGAGTTCAATTCTATGTGATGTTTGACACTTCTGTCTCATTCATGGGGTGTTTCCATCATACCGCAGTGTTCCATTGTAAGGGGAGCCTCTTTTCATTCATTGTTGGTGGCACCACTGTTGCTTGCATTCAGCATCAATGCTTCTTTGATGTCATTTTGCATGTTGTTATTGGCATTTTTTAACCTCTGGCCTGATCATGCTTCTCCTGAGCTATTCTGGTCACTAGACCCTGCGCACATGCAGCTCCAAGCGCACAATATGCCAGATTTATGCTACACCACAGTGTACGAGGTGAGCTGGGAACCATTACAGCAGGCAAGTTACTTTGACTGCATCTTTGTAAGAACTGAGAGCTTGGACTCCCTGGAGGGGATGAGCCCTTTTCCCCAAACAAGAAGGCAGGTGGGGGGCTAACGAGCCTGCACTAGTTACAAGAGATTCAATCATTTGTTTACATAGTTGGGGGAGTTTATTAAGCAGGTTGCGAGTCTTCAGTTATTTTTTAACCCAGCAGTGGTTTTTGAATTGACAACTTTCTGGATGCCTTTCTTGTGGTGGTGGCAAAATGTCGCTACTTTCTGTGCCTCTGTGAAGGGGTCCAGGTTCTGGCGCTGGTCCTTGGTAGGCCTAAGAACAACCTGGCTGATGCAACCTGGGTAGATGGGAACCATCCCAGAGTATAGTTTCTGGGAGGCACAAGAGACTTACCCCAAAAAAGTAGTGACAGAAACTAACAAAATTTACAAGAGAGATTTTTGTTGAACCTCTAACTTCAAGAATAAGAGGTCATAAATTCAAATTAAGGAAACTAAGGTGCAAAAATATATACCAAAGTTCTAAGTTACTCAGGGCCTACCACAAAAAGGTGTTTCAATACATGCAGTGTCTGATTTATTATTGTAGCTCTTGGAAACTTGACTAATCATAAATACAATATACCATTTTTATTCAACAAAATGCATTATTATTGAGCATTTTCTCTTACTAACTACAAAAATAATAGGCCTGCAAGGTAAAATAGTCATAATGTAAGTTACATACCATTACAGCCTAAAGCACAGAATCCTCTTCAAGCGTCATCATCTGGAGGACCACCACTTAGATTACCTCATTTTCCTCCTGGACCTCACAGCAGCAACAGTCCACACAGGTTAGTCATTATGAAGCAAATGTTACAAATTAGCAAATATAGTTCATGCCAATGGCAAAATCATTTTTTCTAGGGAGCCCCTCGCTTGCTCCCTGACATTATCTTGCTGAAATTGCTCCTTACTAAACATCATATTAGTTGCGGAAGTTCTGTTTGGCATACCGGAGACCAGAGCCAGAACCTGTTTTCCCCCCCCCCCGTCCCTCATAGAGGCGCAAGGAGCGAGTGATAATTTGCCACAACTGGGAAACGCATTCAGAAAGTCGGCTTTCTGAATGCTGACTTTCTGTAAAACAAAGTTTTACAAACAACTGGCCAGGTTAGCCTGTCAACACTGGTTTTAATATCCACTTGAAATTTTTTTGTTAAGACCATGTCTGATAGCAGCACCAATTGGCAATTGGTGGATAGTGGATTTATATGTTTGCAAAGACAAAAAACATACACTATCCGTTAAAAAATAAGCTACAAGTGATTGAATTTTGTGAAAATGGCCGTTTTGATGCAAGTATTGCAAAGGAGTTTTGATAAAGGAGTGAGTACTGTCTGTGATATAAGGGAACACAAAGCTCATGTACAATGATTTTAGTGTTGTGTTAGGTTTATTAAATGATCACTATTGAAGCCTTTCATCGAGCAATCTGACAAACGTCAATAAGGGGAGCGAAATATTTGTGATAAGAGTTGTAATTTCTCTTATCTTTAATGAATTACAGTATTTAAGTACTGTATGTACTCTATATGAAGCTCTTACCCTAACCAAATATATTAATGCTTATTGCATGTGGAAATACAAATTCTGTTGATGGTACAAAAAATTATGAGTGTAAATTACAGGCATACCTCAGAATAAGAGTTTAATCCGTTCCTGGAGACGCCTCGCCTTCCGAAAACTCGCATTCCGAAGTTAATTTCCCCATAAGAAATAAAGGGAAATGAATTAATCCGTTCCTGACTACCCCAAAAACCCCACATCAAACTAAATTTTTATACCTAATTTACCCAATTCATCTAAATAAACCTACAAAACTGTGTTCCAGTTATTACTTACCTTGCTGTCGAGTGCTGTAGGCGTATGGAAGATGGTGAGGAGGGGGGAGGAGGAGAGGAGTTACTGTTTGGAAGGGGAGTCCCCTTCCATAATCACATCACATAACCCCATGCCTTGTAACACTATGGATACCACTTCTCTTTCTAAATTTTTCAAACCAGCCCCTGCTTGCCTTAAACTCTTTCTTATCTGCATCACTCGTTGCAGGGGTATTCTTTAGAAGGTCTTCGTGCAACACCCTGGCTTTCTCACAAATAATGGCCTCCGAAACACTATCACCCCTCAACTCCTTGTCGTGTATCCAAATTAATAACAACTTTTCCACTTCTTCAAGTATTTGTGGTCTTTGTGCCGTTAATGTTCTTACTCCTTTTGCCACTTTAGCACCCATAATCTTATTTTTCTTCTTAAGTATAGTGCATATTGTTGATGTGGCTTTGTTGTACTGCCTACAAAGTTCAACAACACGTGTACCATTCTCATGCTTCCGAATGATCTCTTGTTTCTCCTCTATTGTCATCCTCACATGAGCTTTCTGGCCTTTATCCTTACCACTGGCTTTCTTGGGACCCATGGTGAGATATATAATAACAAATTGTATAGACAAATCACCAAAAATCCAAGAAAACACTGAAAATCCGCGAGAAGAATTGATGTGGGGGTAGTCACTGAGCGCGAGACAATAATAAACTGAGGGGCGGCGGGGCGGAGGGCGACGAACGCGCTAGGTCGGCTGTACGCGTATCAACAAACTCGCGTCCAACTCGCCTCCCGAAGTAACCATCGCCTTCCGAGACAAATTTTTGGAGTAAATACACCTCGCCTTCCGAAAATCTCGCATACAGGGACAATCGCATTCCGAGGTACCACTGTATGAGTATTGGACTTTTCCGGTAAAAATTCTTGCTAATCCGGATGTCTGGCTAACTCATAGGGAGTGAGTCCACTATAATCCTGATTAGCGAGCATGGACAGTATACTTTGCAGGCTTAGAAACATTATTTTTGAGAAAATCCACTAGGGCAATGAGGTGGGCGCGAACCTACGACCCTTGCATTGCCAGCTGCATACTCTACCACTAGACCACTGCTGACTTGCATTTCTTATTTTTATTACAGTACAGTATTTTTATTAGTAATGTGCTCAATCTTAATTTTCGGGAATTATGTGCTCAAACATCCGGTTATTCAGGACACATTCTATAGTAAATAAATAAAAATAAGTGGTAAACAATGTAAACGATCAAAGAAACATGCAAGGAGAACACTGAAGTCGTGTATCTCATACCACAGTGTCAGCAAGGTCAGGTGTCGACAGATGCCGGCCACGAACACCATCATGCCACCTTTCACAGTTTATGTAGCCAGTAAAACAATACAAATTTATATTTTCCAGTTTTGTTACATCTTGCATACAAATTAATAAGTCTATAAGGAAAGCAAATTTTTTTTTTAGCTGCTTGTTGAGGGTTAAGACTAGTAATTAGAATATATTCAAATATATTTACATTATTAATGAAATATAATGGGTTTTCTTTCCCAACAGCAGACCCGAGAGTCCAAGTGAAAGTGGCGGACAAGGGGTAAGAAGTGGCTACACCTTACACCATGTCCCTTTATCTGCTAATAAACCTCTTGATGGAAATAATTCTGCCAGACCACCCCCTATTATTCCTAAGGTATTATTGCTCAAGTTCAGTTTAATATCAGTATGAGTTTTTTGTGCATTTATAATTGTATATATGTGACAGAGTTTGGAAATAATCTCGGATGAATTTTGCAATATTCTGATGGATGGTGCATGCGAGCCATTCTGTTGTTGCAATAAAATAGTAGTTAATTCTTTGAGTACTGGAAGTTCAGTATAGCTCAATACAGCATAAGTAAACTAGTAGCTTTTGTATACTTGCCTGAGGAACTAATAAAGTGAGACTAGTTGCTTAGTCTGTGAAATGTAATGAACCCTTCACAGCTTAGAAGAGGGCTCACAAGCCTAATAGCCAGTTTTACTCTTTGATTTTGTCAGACTTCTCACACACACCATTATTATTGGTGTGTGAGAAGTCATTATTATTGGTTTAATTAAACAATTTAATTAAAATCTGATTCGAGGAAAATTGATGTACCAAAAGTAATGTCACACATTATTCTTCCAGCCAAAGACGCTGCAGAACCCTGGAGTAACACCAAATCGGCAACCCATTTCATTTCCCAGACCCCTCAACAGCACCAGCCCTCAAAGGTTAGTTGTAAATCTTTATATGGCTAGAAAACATTGTGGGATGAGGCTGTGTGTGTGTATATACTTATATATATATACATATTTATGTATTTAATTATTTAATTACTGTAGTACACGCACCTGGGGAAATATTTGCAATCTGCACCTTCAGAAAGAACAGGCCATAGATTCAAGTTAGGGAACAAAGGTGCCCATTCACCTTGAGCTTGCACTCTGGTGAAGTTCATGCCCTTGAAAAGTGTATCAGGCTTTTCTTGCCTCCACTGAGATCCAGATTCAGGTTTCTTGCAAGTCAGTGTTGGTTTCAGGCTTGATGCTCTTCTCAAGGCTCGGCTTCTCTTGAGTGCAAGCAAATGGGACCTACTAAGGGCTCACCAGAAAAGGGCATTTAATTACACTTAATGCTTGGTTTAAATAGTTTGAGAAATGTGCATGATTAAAAGTAGCTTCATAAAATTAGATTAAGTTGTCCTGATGTTTCAGTAGTCGGCCTGTGAGCCCAACTGAGAGTGGAGGACAGGGAGGAAAAAGTGGCTTTACCTTACACCCTCCATTGAAGCTCAGCAAATCTGACGAGGGAAATAATCCTCCAAGACCGCCAGTCCCAACACCCAAGGAGCTGAAGCCCAAGTTCAGCCAACCATCACAATCAGCTTCATATGCTCCAGTTAGTGTATTTTTAAATTTTGTCTGATGTGGTTTTTATGGCCATCGAGAAAATATTAAATGGAAATGTAATACCAGATATTAGTTGGACACGTTTTTTTTTACCTGATGCCTCTTTTTGAAATAGGTAGCCAGGAGTTAGGCAATTGTTGCTGGTTGCATCCTGGGTAAGGTCATTAGTAATTGACCTAGAGAGACCTCGGTAAGTATAAGTACCGCACAGCGTTCCAAATAGCCAGGAGTTAGGCAATTGTTGCTGGTTGCATCCTGGGTAAGGTCATTAGTAATTGACCTAGAGAGACCTCGGTAAGTATAAGTACCGTACAGCGTTCCAAATAGCCAGGAGTTAGGCAATTGTTGCTGGTTGCATCCTGGGTAAGGTCATTAGTAATTGACCTAGAGAGACCTCGGTAAGTATAAGTACCGTACAGCGTTCCAAATAGCCAGGAGTTAGGCAATTGTTGCTGGTTGCATCCTGGGTAAGGTCATTAGTAATTGACCTAGAGAGACCTCGGTAAGTATAAGTACCGTACAGCGTTCCAAATAGCCAGGAGTTAGGCAATTGTTGCTGGTTGCATCCTGGGTAAGGTCATTAGTAATTGACCTAGAGAGACCTCGGTAAGTATAAGTACCGTACAGCGTTCCAAATAGCCAGGAGTTAGGCAATTGTTGCTGGTTGCATCCTGGGTAAGGTCATTAGTAATTGACCTAGAGAGACCTCGGTAAGTATAAGTACCGTACAGCGTTCCAAATAGCCAGGAGTTAGGCAATTGTTGCTGGTTGCATCCTGGGTAAGGTCATTAGTAATTGACCTAGAGAGACCTCGGTAAGTATAAGTACCGTACAGCGTTCCAAATAGCCAGGAGTTAGGCAATTGTTGCTGGTTGCATCCTGGGTAAGGTCATTAGTAATTGACCTAGAGAGACCTCGGTAAGTATAAGTACCGTACAGCGTTCCAAATAGCCAGGAGTTAGGCAATTGTTGCTGGTTGCATCCTGGGTAAGGTCATTAGTAATTGACCTAGAGAGACCTCGGTAAGTATAAGTACCGTACAGCGTTCCAAATAGCCAGGAGTTAGGCAATTGTTGCTGGTTGCATCCTGGGTAAGGTCATTAGTAATTGACCTAGAGAGACCTCGGTAAGTATAAGTACCGTACAGCGTTCCAATCCCAAACAACGGGAATGTGACCACTGATAATGTAGAATAGAAAAAAAAAATATCTGCTGTTTGGGCACTGTTAATTGTTGAGCGAACAGTTGGTATGTGGTTATACATGTTCAGCTGGCATATGGTTATGCATGTCTAGCTGGTATGTGATTATACATCTTCCAGTTGGTATATGGCCATATGTGTCCAGTTGACATATTCACACAGCTTCAGAGACAATCATAAATGATCTTTTTTAATGGAAACATAAATTATAGTAAAACACAAAACTACTTTAATATACAAAGAGATTCCAAATATATATATGATCATCATTTACCCTTCCAGATGATCTTGATTGTTATGTGATTTCAGATCTCGGATAGATTTATTGTGTGAATTTCACATGACCATTTTAACTGTTTCATTCTCGACTGAATAATTGAGCTGAATCACTTCATTAAATAACAAATCTGACCCTTTCTTTCCAGGAGAAAACGGACCATGAATATGAGATTGTTGATGTTCCGCCTAGATCATTTACAGTAAGTCTGACCATTTTTCGTATGAATTGCTTCAACCTAGTCTTGGAAAAGGTAAGTTTATTAATGAGTGAATGTTTAAAGTTATTTTGTATGCATGACCATTTTGGCCCTAAAATTCAACGAGATCATTTAATTTAAAATATTTTTTGCATGCTCTCCAAGTCAGCAATTTCTCCAGATTTGAATGGGGCTGATAGCTTGTAATAATATTCCACCCTAGAGAGCACTAGTGTCTTAAAAAGCATCATCATTAGTGTGGCATCTCTTGTTTAAAAGGTTCTTGTTATCCAACTTCACATTTTTCTTGCCGTTCTGGCAGCTACTTTGTTGTGTTCTTTAAAAGCAGTGTCTTCTGACATGATTACTCCTGTATCGTCTGACCCTACATTGCTTTTTTTCTTTCAATAGTGTAGTTTTCTGTGTTTTATATGTGGTTTCTCTGTTGACATTTTCGTTTTTAAATAATGCAGTAACTGGAACTTGATTATCATCCAATTTGAGGTTAGGATCCATCGGCGAAGTGTCTTGTTTGTGATGTGACTTGTATCCCTTAGAACAGCCATATTTGAGGATTGCATGCCTCCTAAGGTGAATCTTTTCTATTCTTATTCTGCTTGGCTCTTTACTTACATCTTAATGTTATGGTCTATAAAAGAACAGACATTGTTCATCTGTATAGTGATTTCATTGTACTGTATATAGACTTTACATTTTGTGCCGCGAGACTAATGTGCATGTTTAATTCTTTTTGCAGGGAACGGAGAACATTCATCCCAGTTCCTCAGGTATGTTACATACAGTATACAGTAATGTTTCTGTGGGGAGCCCTGTCGGCTCCCTGAAGATAGATATATATATATATGAATATAGCTTCACATATGCACTGTGTGTGTACTCACCTAGTTGTGTTTGCGGGGGTTGAGCTCTGGCTCTTTGGTCCTGCCTCTCAACCATCAATCAACAGGTGTACAGATTCCTGAGCCTATCGGGCTCTGTCATATCTACACTTGAAACTGTGTATGGAGTCAGCCTCCACCACATCACTTCCTAATGCATTCCATTTGTCAACCAATCTGACACTAAAAAGTTCCTTCTAATATCTGTGTGTGTGTCTCTCTCTCTCTCTCTCTCTCTCTA